TACTACGTAAAATTTCAGCTTTGGAAAGCTTTGCAAGAAAGGTCTAAAACGAAAAGAAATAGTATGCTTAAGCCTTGCGTACAATGAGCTGAAATAGAGTAGCTAAAAGGTTAACGTTTCATCATTTTATTCATTCATAGAATAAGTCAAAATTGAGACGTGCTGAAGAACAGATTCAAAACACGTGTGAAACCTCAGTGTATGCAGATCTCTTATAAATTCAATATGACACCCCTTTAGAGTGACCATAGTTATGGGAAAAATATATTTCCTCAATAAAATCAATCAGTGTCTCCCCTTTCTGTACGCATACTGATACATGAGGGCGTTAAATTCTTATTTATCTAGTGCAATATTTAAAACGTTTGAGAACCCCTTATAAGGTATTTCTCTAGCCTTCTTAGCATGCCTTCGTGGTGTAATGGTCAGCACACTCGGCTCGTTTTCGAGACGTCCGAGTTGGAGTCCCTGCTAGATCATTGCTCATTTTTCATGTCTCCTGCTTCGAAATAACCTAATATCACTACAGTGTACGGATCGAACTAAAAATATGGTAGATGATGATTCTTCACCACCAGAATTTGGCGATTGTGTCCCCTAATCCCCAGTCCCTCTTTAAAAGGAGCAGTATGTAAGGTATTTCTCCCTCCTTCTTAGCATGCCTTCGTGGTGTAATGGTCAGCACGCCTGGCGCATATTCGAGATGGTCGTGGTTCGAATCCCGGCGAGGGTATTGCTCATTTTTCATCTCTCTTGTTTCGAGATGACTTAATGTCTCTACACTCTGTTCAAGAGAATAAAACATCTCTCATTGCTCATCATCTCTCATCATCTTGCACATCAAACATTGTTTCAAATGCGATTAATTAATTTCCAATTAACTACATTCGTTTTAAAATGAAATATCATATTCTGGATAAAGATAAAAGCTATAATGCATCCTCAAAAACAAAATTTTACAGTCAAATTTAAATGCATTACAAATTTTATTTTTATTATTTATTTGTGTGTGCATGTGTATGTCTGTGATTTATTATTCAATACAGCACGTTTTGTGAGATAATCTATTCTTCTAATGGGACCTCGGATATAGCGGACCAAACTTCAGCCGAGTTCGACTGCATTAAACTCAAATCTTGTTTCTTCTCCAAGAAGGAAAAAAGAGGGAAAAAAACAAAACCAAGCCTGATAACTGTTAAGACAGGTAATAATTTTTTGCATTAGCCTTAATTAATTATCATACAATACTGATGGTTTGATCTTAAATTTCCGAGTTTCAAAATATTGTAACCATTTCCATAACAGATAAAGCTATCTTGAATTATCATAACGTATCCCAGTATAACGTTACAGTAAACTAGCAGTGCATTTTTAAGAAATGTTATATTGCATACATATTAAAAATGCTTGCTTATCTACTTTAATTTACTACACATTTCCTTTCAATTGATGTACTCAGAGTACAAATCACTTTTCAATGTTGCTACGCAAATTATTGTGTTTGTAATTCTGATACCCGTAGAATCTAGATTCGAAGTTTATAAACTTTATCAATTCCATTAATGTACCTATGTTTACTGAAACTGAAAAATGAAACATTTCAGAAAAGTTTTATTCTGCATAGGAACTTTTTCAAGTAATATTGTAAGAAGGGCGGAAAGCAAAGCCGCTTGCGTATGTCAACATTTGTTGTCATGACCACATTTATACGGCCATAAGATATTTTTCTTATTTAGCATACATTATAATTTAAAATATTTTATTTCGTTGTTTCTTTAATGATGTATATATCATCTTAATGAATGGAAACTTATGAAAATAAAGATTAAAATAAGTGATTAAACTCATTAAGCTAACAGATGATACTACTTCAGAAGTCAAACAACAAAAATCAGCGTTATATTTTCAAATTTTCACAGGACTAGTTTCGATGGTTTTACCGAACCACCATCGTCAGCTGCAAAAGCGCAATTGAACGAGATAGGATATAATGATCAGATAAGATAAGAAAGCCTGGACAGAAAATAAGCTAGTGGCGCCATCTGTTGATGAAACCAGAACTAAAACATAATTTCTTTAAAGGTCGAAGGCAAAGATGGATTGGAATTAGGATCGTTAACTAGAACAGAAAGATTTTTTCAATGTGAAATGCCTCTAGAAAATCCAGTTCTCCAATGGAAGATGTTTTTTGAATAATTTTGACAGCAGAAAAATTGAAAGTGTGATTTTCGGACCAACAATGTTGAGCAACAGAAGATACTTAAATGCTGTTCTTTATGAGCAGATCCAAAAGCCGTAGCACTCAGAGGGTTAATATTCATGTGTTGATTGCATACGCTGTAGTTGTGCAAGATATTTTTGCAAATGAAAGTTATAAGGTATTTTCTCCCTCCTTTCCGTAAGCCTTAATGGTGTTATTGGAAGCACACTCGACGCGTATACGAGAGGTCCAGGTCATTGTTCATTTTTCACGTCTCCTACTTAAAAAAACCCTAATGACTCTACAAAGTTTTCTATAATATTTTCTCTTCTTTCTGATATTTCTTTATGTCTTAGCTCTAACCATTTTTTTGCAAGAATTCAAAAATATAATACACATAGAATACAATATACATATATATCTTCTCAACAGACTGCCGCAGATCCACATCAGTGTGAAATGATAATAACTATAGTCCCCAGATAGCTAAATAGTGAACTATAAGTATATACATGGGAGCTCAATAATAAAGCTCATCTTGCATTTATTCACTTTGTCATTTGTGATTTTAATCTATACAATTATACTAATATGCGAAAGGTGCACTGTAGAGTGTCAAGAAATTTTATAGAGGAAATGATATATTTTAAAAATTATTTATACGAAAATCGAAATTTTATTTTGATTTTTTCATCAACATAGGAGTTTAAAGTTAAAGGTTTAAAATAGGTAAAGTGATGATTTTATTCGTAACTTTGCATTTTTGATAAAACTTCTTTCCATTCAAAATTAACATCAACTGAATTATGAATAATTAAGTGTATTTCCTTCTATTTAATAATTAACTATCTTAAACAATTTCCTTTTTATAATTATAATGCCTTATAATTTGGTTTACTAACTTATCCCCTTTGCTGATAACACATTTCGATTTTAATATTTAAAAGACAGCAAAATTTGATTTTATAAGCAACGAATCCTACCTTTTGCTGTAAAATGTTTTTTTAAAGTTTTAGTCTTTGCATGTTGACAGACAAACCGCGCTTCAAGTTTAAATCGAAATTGTAACAATATGTAATTAATAATTTAAGTAGTCAATATGTGATCTATTGATAAAAATTAACTTTCAGGAAGTGTTCTGTCCTGAAAGATAGTTTACATGCTGCGTCTATTGAATTCATGAAAGTTCGAAATATAAAGGAGCCGTTTATCATTATTTAGCCTTCTACATAATTTCTTTCTAATTTTATGTTTCTCTTAGCTCATTCAGACAGCTTCTGGATTACTTCATAGACGCCAACTGTTAAAACCCAGTTGTAGTCTTGAAATATTTCAATTTTAGAACTATTGACACTTGTTGTTGTGAGACTTTAAAGTCTGTTTAAGTCTGTTTAAAACAAGTAAACGCTAGTCACTTTCGCAAATCCAATATAAAACATGTGTTTCTGTAATTTATACAAGTTTCTTTTGCCCAGAATCCTGGTAGTCTTGCACATAAATTTTTATTTACTTCTGCCTTATAATTTAAAAGCCGATTCGGAAAGAAATTCATATCTGTGATTTTTATTTTCATGCCGCCCAATCCGCATAGTCGGCAGTCAGCTGTGATGCTGACTGACGTGCCGAAGGACCCGTGTTCGAATCCCGGAGAAGGCATGGATGTTTGTAAGTGTATAGTGTCTGTGCGGCATGGGAGCACTCTAAATATGCGGCTAGCCGAGAGGCCGGTAGTAGGGAAAGAGGGGTGGGAGAACCTCAGACCCGTCCCCCTGAGGCGCCCTTCTTCAAAATTAAGGGAAAAACTGAGCAAAAACATACTGTCACCTGCCTGGTGCTCAAGACCAACGGCAGACGCGGTCTTATACTCCTTGCCACGATGAATTTCGTGCGCTTGTTCTGATGTCAGTGTCAGGCAAGTGCGATAAGTCACAACAACAACAGGAAGTAATTTTATAAATGCCCTAAAATATTTTCTTAATTAATGAAAATATTTTACAAAAAACCAATGCAAAAGTAATACTCCTCTACTAAAACTCTCCTCTTTGAAACTTTTATTTAATTTTCACTTTAGTTGTAACTGAAGTAAGTAAAATAAATCTGACTCGCTAGTTAATTACAAATGTAATCAAAGGATTAATTATTCCTTCCTATTAGAAAATGGACTCAAACTTTTCTGAGAGAATGAAAACTAATTCAGTGTTAGCTAAATGCAGAAAAATATATCATCCATAAATCATACTTCTAATTCTTAATTAGCTCTATGCTTTAAGACGCTCTAAACTTCCTAATAATTTTAGAGCGAAGCTCATATAAAATGCACATCCAAATTTTAAACAAATTAAACGAAAATTTAACACTGAATTTTTAATAGTGATGTAAAATGAAAGACAGAGAATGGTGAGCTAAACATTTTAGTTAAAAGAATTCAAATGTGGCATCTAACAGTAAAAAACGAAACCAGAAAATTATTAATATTACACATTATGACCATTTAAATGAAGTAAATAACATTTTCTGGTAATGATTTTCCATTAAGCAATATGATTGAAAATAATCCTAAGTAGATAAATTAAATATCATTGATTGTGTCAGTATATTTATTTTAATTCCCCTTTTTCTTCAGGTAAGAAAAAAAATCAGCAGCATTTGTATTACATTTATAAATATTTCTTTCAAAGTTTTCGAGAAGTTTATTTCTCAAAGGCTATAATTTACAGTGATGAAAACGACGAAGTTTGACATGTGAATATTTAATCTATGACAGCAATGGAACTCCATTTGCAACGTTCGTTCAAATTACCTCAATATAATAATCCTGGTTGTCACAGGTATCGAATTTTCTAGACCAGGCGTATCTCGTTATGTACCCTCTCCTTTTGAGACTTAGTAGCTGACAGTCATCATGGTCATCCACGGTGACATATCCAATTTCGTCCGTGTAAATATCCTGAAACACAGTAATAAGCACTTTTTAGTAAAATAAGCATAATAAAAGGAACTGAATCTGTTTTTGTATGATAGAAACAAGCAGAGAGATACGTTTAAGATATAGTGGATAATGACGATGTTTTTAGAAGCGATTCTCTAGAGGCACGCTAAACATAAGCAGACCTTTTATTTGTATTAGTTTGCTTATTGAATTATGAGATCAAAGTTCATTTTTATGCTTATTTTGTATTTTGAATGTACAATAGTGTTACGTGCGTACGGTTTCGTTACGAAATGAATGCACAAGTCCAATGAAACAAAATTTATTATTATCACAAAATGCTTAAATTCCCTCAGATATTCTTTCAGTTTTACAATATCTCACAGTAGTTATCTTTTAACTACTCAACCGTTCAACAGAAGTTAATTCAAAACAGCTAAAGAAAGCTAATCCGCGAATTCGCTACAATCAACAAGAGTAGTTTTCTAAACAAACTCTTAAAACAACAGCGAACTAACTAAAATCACTGACTAACTGAATTGAGAGGTTTTCCTCCTTTTTATAAGATTTTTAAATCGCGCGCGAGAACTTTCTGGAACTTTCTCGAAATCAAAAAGAGATGTTTATTAAATGTTACATGCACGCGCTCTTGTATTTTCAATTTTCCGGCTTAGCTTTCTTTTAATGTTCGTCACGCGCTGCACTGCGCGGGAAATAAAACCATTTAATTTACAATTTAACTAACATAAGCTATTTAAATACAAATCCGTAACAGTAGTATCCAGATTTAGAAAAAAAAATTTCTAGTTATAAAAATAAAATGTTTTCCTGTGTATAAACAATGAATATATATTTTTTTTAAACGGCATGTCTTTAATAGGGACTAAAAAGCATTTTTCTTTCTCTTTATAAATTCGGCTTATCCACAGGTTATTATAAATTAGTATTAAATTCAAATTAATTTTAGCTAAATGTGAGATTTTCCATTTATTTATTGGCATTCATTTCAAGAACGAAAACGTTAGTTAATGAAACGAAGATACGTGATGCCAGTTTCAATGTTTCCTTCCGGTGTGCATTGGAAAAACGGATTATCTCATGAAAAAGTATAAAAAGTGTTTGATAAATCACAGCAAAACTGACTAGTATGGTTACATCTGCTAGAAGTAATTAATAATTACTCTATTTTTTAAGCCATATAAAGGGTTAGTTATAATTATTATTACAGGCAGTTATTAAATTTGCTTTTTTTTATTTTCGAGTTTCAATATATGTTAATAATTTTACTCGATATATCATTTAGTATAAAACTCATGGTTCAGATCCTCCCTCCGAGCATAGTTCAAAATTCAAACCCTTCTTTCGAAATACATATATCCGACTGAAATGCACATTTATAATTTTAACTAATCATTTTATACCTAAAAATAAAAAAGCACTAAAAATTAGTAGCAAAACATATTGACGAATTTTTCTTCAAAATTTACTTAGTACAGACGTAATCTGCAGTTTTTAAGCCATGATGCTAACTGCAGGAATATTTTATCCATATTCTTCAAACATTGAAGTGTCTTCATCACTTTCGCTTTCAAAGTTTGTGTAAATAAAACCCTTGTAAGATTCTACCTAAGTTAACTTTACTTGCCTGCTAGATATTTACTTGAATTGTGAAGCGACTATTTATTAAGTTGAAACTGTATCAATAAGAAGACGCAGGAAGAGTGAAAAGTCCCTTGTATTCAACTCAAGAAAGAATTTACAGACGGTACTCCTGGTACTTGGGAACTTAGCCAATACTTTAAGGTGTAACTCAAAATAGAAATATAAAATTAAAACTGAGTTAAATAATTAGTCGAAGCTGTGCTGAGATAATTAACGCAAGTTGGCTCTTAATTCTACTACAGACGTACACAAACCGGCAATTAATATACACTGCCATAAAATAACAAACTAATACGTTTAAAACTAAATACGTCTTTACACCCTCTTAAGGGAAATAGACCTTTCCGACAGCGAAAAAACAATAAAATTTCCTTTATTAATAATCCTACTATTATCGTAGTAAAACTCATTGCAGATTCAAAATGTTTTACTTTTAGGAACTTCACAGTATTATTATTATGTTATAGTAAGATCTTAATTTTTATTCTCAATGCTATATTTTCGCGAAAAGGCTTGACGGGTCCTTCAAGTGACAAATTTCAGGCACATGATCGGACTTAGATGAGCATAAACATTTTTCTTATGCATGAAACCACTTCGAATTTACATTGATATTTGCAAATATGTTCAAAACTTTAAGTGAATATATTTTTATTTTAACATGCAGAAATTTTTTAATTCAAAAAATGTTAATTCTTAGAATATGTAGCATATTTTTAGGTAAAATCAGGTTCTCAATAATTCGTTTCTTCTTGGAGATGAACTTAATATATTCACTCAATGATTAATTTGCGTCCTGGTCGGAGCTAACGAAAGCATAAATACAGACGAAATAATAAGAGAGCTGGTTAGTTTATAAGATATTTTCTATCTCCTTCCAGCATGCTTTCGTGGTGTAACACTCGGCACATATTCGAGAGGTCCATGTTCGAGTTCCGAAGAGGACATTGTTCATTTTTTACATTTCCTGCTCTAAAAAATCCTAGTTCTCTCCAAATTAACATAAAACCTTTCAATTTAGAGACAAACGAATCCTCGTTCATAATATTTTTCTCTTCAACCGCCTTGACTAGGCCGGCATGCCGAAAACCATTTCGATGGTTGATCCTCTAGCAAGTCGTCAAGCGTTTCCTAGCGCTAGCATTGCTGATTGCTGTACTTCTTCAGAATGCTTAAAACGAGCTGCTTTTTAAAATGAAACTTCAAGTTCCTGATCCCCCATTGTTTTGTTAGTTGAAGCATTGAAGTAATAATAGGTGGCAAGAAAACAATCTACGTTTTCGCCTAATGTGTGCAATACAAATGTCGAGAAAGTGTAGAATCTGTGGTGTTTGGGCCAAAATTTCATTTACGTTCGTAGCTCTTCTCCAAGAGTTACAACGTCACTCATACCTTTCGATAATCTTTACAAGAAACAGAAAGAATTAGCAAAAATTAGTTTTAAGCATCTTGGCTTATGCGATTTTTCACTTACCAAAAATCTACATTGCTCTTGAGCCATTACGTTGGAGCACACAAGAACTATCACTCGCGCTTTTCCCTATCTTCCTCCAGCGCACCTTTGTTCTTTAAATTTTAATGCTTGGTTTGGCGTCATCTTATAGCCCATTTTCATCAGTAATGAAAATATATAATTTTTTTGTAGTGAGGGCGAGATATCATCCGATTTTTTTCCAATTTCTCTGCATCAACTTATGAAGCACACTCTGATTCACGGAGGAATTTTCCTACATAATATTATATAATATTTCCATATAATATCCCTGAATATTCTGCTTCTAGAAGCTATTCAGCTATTCATTTGAACACAAAAGCTTATCTCTCCAGAGTATTTAGCAAATTCATTGCGCATTACCTGAAGCATTTGACCAGGTATTGTTGGATTGTGGCTTCTGTGAATGGTATACCATTTTCGAAATGCTTTTTCAACATCCTTATGCTCGGTCTTTCTAACTTTTACCTCATATGCAAATTCTTTCCATGAGCAGAAATTACGGAAGCATCATTTTCCGTGTGGTAGACTGTAGATTTTTGTAAACTGTAATTTCAAGTAGACATTTACTTCGCTACATCCATTCTACATTTTTCGAATCATGCTTGTTTTATTTTCAGTGTAGAATGGCATATAAAACTCGCCATGCGGATGAATTTTTGACAGAAATTTTCACTAATAGAGAGTGAAGAAAGTTTAATTGAAAAATATGTGAAATTTTACTCATCTAGGAAGACTGAAAAAGGTAAGATAATTTTACCAATCTCTTCTATCCAATATTAAATGAGAAGGCATTTATTTTCCACGAGCCATGAATGTCTGCAAAGCAACGGTGCAATAATCCTTATAAGAATAATCTGAATCTTAGGAAAGATCTAAAGAATGCAAAGAAACCCCTCAGTTTACAAGGCAGTCTTTTGGGCTGCGTTTGAAATGCTGGAACAAAACAACCATTAAAGATAAAGAAAATTTCATTCCGTAAAGAAGAATCACCTAGTACTTTGTTTACTAGAACATATTCATCATTTCTCCTCCCCACAGAATAGCGAAATTTTCAAAATTTTCATCACAGCTTCAGGTTTGGCTAGAACTTTTAACTTACAGATCAAAGAAATTGAAATGAAACAGAGAATCCATTCAGGTTCTTTGGCTCAGTGTTCATTTTATGACACAATATGACTTCTTAAAGTATGCTTATTCTGAGCCCTGGTTTCTCAAGAATTGACTTTTATGTGTGCTTCGCTTAGCCTTTGTTTAGAACTCGAAGAAAGATGAGGTGAAGGTAAAATACCTGTAATGGTGTCTGCTCCTGGTTAAATTGCCCCACTAATAGCTAAATGGTTAAAACCGCTTAATATTGATAGTTCACGCTAGATTAGAATATAGAAGAACAGGTTGGCTGCATAGTTGGTTTTTGAGGTTTTCCCCATGTGTAACGTGAGTACAAGCCTGTTTCCCTTAGAGAATCATTCAGGAAAGCATCTCTTCCCTAAGACAGATAGCCCTTGTATGCTTTCCCTTAGACAGATAGTCCTTGTATGCTTTGCCTTAGACAGATAGCCTTTGTATGCTTTGTTGTACCCAAATACCAACAAACAAAAACCCTCGCAATATTGCTTTTATATTTATAATTTTAATGGTTAAATATTTTCCATCGAAACTTGAATTAAAAAATAGAATTTTTCATAATTATTGACACTAAGCATTATGCACTATTTTATTCTTTCCAGTTATTTCTTGATTTTATGTATCTTTTTTAACTAATACAAGCATTGATTACCGTTCCAGCGTGCGACGGAAAAAGATAAAAATTAGGAGCTGGAATTTTATATCATTATCTTCCATGTTGCCTTTTATCCTTTAA